TTCAGGTTTGGCAAAGATTTTTTGTTTCAGCTCTCTGCTTCTAATGCTGCAGATGAAACGGTCTCTTAAATGTTTTTCCAGGTCCTTGAATTCACAAGGCCTGGCAGCTTGTCTCAAGGCAGTGATGAATTCTGCAGCAGACTCACCAGACTTCTGGTTCCTCTGCTCAAAAGCATGCCTCCAAGAAATTACAGATAGCTTCGGATGAAAGTGATCCTTCAACATATTTTTCAGCTCTGTGTAGGTTACAGACTCAAGCGGTGCAGGAGCTACTAAATTTTCAGCCACATCGAAAGTGTCCTGACCGCAGACACACAGCAGGGTTGCTGCCTTCAAACCATCTTCTCGAACCTGGTTAACTCGCAGGTAGTTTTCCACCTGGGCCACGTAAGAGTTCCAGCGCTCCAGGTGAGACATGTCAAACTTTGACAACCGGCTGATCTTCAACATTGCTAGCTTCTCTTAGCCTTGCTGCAACTCCAGCTGGGAAGAGGCCCATTTGCCAAGCCCACCTCCAGCATTTGCGTACTGGCAGGTGAGTGCAGATCTGGGCGCCAACTTCCCGGCTTCCAGCTCTTTTGTAGAGGCTAGGTTCATGGAGTTGTCTTCTTCTTTGTAGCGATTTTATTTTGTTAGATAGTGCCCAGTGCTCAAGTCTGTCCAGATCCTCCTGTATCTTAAGCCTGTCTTCTGGAGTGTTGGCTATTCCTGCCAGCTTGGTGTCATCTGCAAATTTGATGAGTTCCCCATCTATTCCCTCATCCAAGTCGTTGATGAAAATAGGCCCAGAACAGAGCCCTGGGCATCCCACTACACACTTCCCTCCATGTAGATGCGGTTCCATTGAGGACCACACGCTGAGTACGGCCGGTCAGCCAGCTACGGATCCATCTGGTGGTGATGCTGTCTTTTATGTATTGGGGTTCGTGGCATTGAAGCGACACACAAGTTGTTAACCAAGCTCTTCTTTATTCGTTCCAAGTTACCACTCAGTAACCCAAAAGGCTCGCAGGCCTTTTATAGTTTTCCAAACATCCAATCATAAATCCCCTTTATTCGTGCCTTGTGCCTGCGCGCAAGATCAGTGCCAACCATTCTGGTCCCAGGCAGCTTTTAGGTTGCCTGGAACCCTTTGCAACAGGACACAACACTGTCTAACCCACATTTTTCTATCTTACCAAGTAGTAGGTTGTGATCTACTTTATCAAATGCCTTACTGAAGTCCAAGTAAATTATATCCACAGCATTCCTCTGATCCACTAATTTTATCACTTGGTCAAAGAATGCAATAAGATTTGTCTGGCATGATCTGTTTTTGACAAAACCATGTTGGCTTTTAGTAATGACTTTGTTTGCCTCTAGGTGTTTGCTGACTCGTTTGATTATCTTTTCCAGAATCTTCCCAGGTATTGAGGTCAGGCTGATAGGTCTGTAATTTCCTGGGTCCATTTTTCCCCCTTTTTTGAAGATGGGAACTACATCAGCTCTTTTCCAGTCTTTCGGTAGTTCCCCAGTGCTCAGGATCTTTGAAAAATTATAGTTCAATGGTTCTGAGATCACATCTGCCAGCTCATTGAGAACCTTGGAGTGTAATCCATCTGGTCCTGGTGATTTGAAATCATCTAGGGTGGACAGGTGCTCATTTACCGTTTTTTTGCCTATCTTAAATTGTGTTTCTAATCTGTTTTCTATGGTATTGTTTAGATAGGTTGGTCTGTTTTTTCCCTTTGTGTAAAGACAGATGCAAAAAACTAGTTAAATAGTTCTGCTTTCTCCCTGTTGCTTGTCACCTTCTTGCCACTTCCCCCCACCGAATGGACCAATCATTTCCTTCACTTTTTCTTGTTTTTTACATGTTGAAAGAACCGTTTTTTTTGTTATTTTGCCAATAAATCTTGCCAATAAAACTGCAGAGACTTGTCCAGACAGTAGTCAGGAATCAAAACTGAGTCAAAGATACCAAAACCAAAAAACAAGATGTTAACAGAATCTTTTCTTTTCCATCTATATTCCTGTTTGCTTCTCTTGTTTTTCAAGTTATTGAAATTGGAAAATGAATATATTTTGACCAGGCTCAATATGTCATTTATGAAAACAATCCTCTGCTCAAAAAATGATCAAGAACTTATAGTCCATGTGTATATGTGTGTCTGTGTGTGGAAGGGCCCCAGATACCTACACAAAAGACACCCAGAAAGCAGATTTGAATAACAGAAGTATACAATATATTTTGTATAGCATACTTTTATTTAAATCTATTTTTAAATGTATATAAACATAAACTTTGGCACATGTTTTCCTTGGCTGGGTTATGTGTGTTCATTTCTTTACTTTTTAAAATTACTCATATGCAAGTGAGAAATTGCCCAAATTACAAATTAAATTGTAGGTTAAATGAATACAATTAAATTATAAGTTAAATTATGTTGCAAAATTTCCATAAAAATACGACTCCTGGGCATGTTTATAGTATAAATAAAAATGCGACCACCAGGAGAATATAAATATAAAAATATACTTTACTAAAAGCTGCCGAGCTTTCGTTTAGGAACTCCAAACATCATCAGGGCTAAGAAGCCAGTAAACAATGATGACTTAAGTGGGTTTGGCTGACATTTGCACCGGGCTCCTGGACCGCGTCACTGATCCCGGCCGGTCAATTTGTGTTCCAGATGTTTCTCTGTTACTCTCCTTGCACTTCCTTCTATCGTTCCTCCGGATCATTCCTCCCACTCCTCCATTGCTAAATTAAATTAAGTTAAATTATATATCTAGCAAAAAAGAGCAATGACATTCCTATTTAGGAAATTAGCAGCTTGGAAAATTCTTATGTAAGAAAACTATCTGGCTGCATGTGGATCAACTTTAGGAAGAATTTGAGTTTTCATTAAGTATACAGTAGATAGCTTCTACTCTACCTCATACCTGGGAAATTTACCACGTTTGGCTGTCCCTGTTCATCCCAATTGCGGTCAATTGGAAATTAGAAATCAAATGTAAATAAGTGTACCTTATCATGCAGTACAACTGCATTGCTTCATTTGGAAAGCAACTGCTATTTTTTTAAAAAAATATGCATGTGCATGTGTGCATGCCTACACATCTTCACAATGATGTGTTGGTCCTATTGGTTCAACCTTGCACAATAGTCCCAGTTTCTCTTGTGACCCCTTGATAAAATTAATTGTCCACCCCCTTTCTATTCCATTTTTGTGCATAGAATATTCTTGCTGCTGTCAGCGTATGTAGCATCAAAATTCTGTTTTTTCCCCAAGTTCTTTGTCATCGTCATTGTCAGCCATTCAGTTGTGCCTGTTCCTCAGCCACTCTATGGACCAGCAGTCTCCTTGCCCCTGTCTTGCACAACCTCCTTCAGATCCGCCATGGTCATCCCAGTGACATCTTTTATAGTGTCCAGCCAGTGGGTACTACAGTGGCCCCTTCTCCTTTTCTGCTGATCACTCTTTGTCCTGTCCATTAAGCCTAAAAGAAAACTCTCTGGTTTTATGTCGATGGAGATTCTCAATCATCCAGTTCATGATTGTCCCAAAGGTAGCTTTTTCCAAAAGGCAACTGGACTTTCATGGTTTGTTTCTTCTTTGAAAATTTTTCGCTTCTTATCCAAGAAACTTCTTCAGTTAAGTTCAAAGGTTAAAAAAAAAAACCTCAATAAAATCCAGTTGTCTTTTGGAAAAAACACGTTTGGGTCTCTGGTCATATCTTTATATTCACTATAGGAATCCTCTGTATTAGAATATGAATCCTACTCCAATATTTCTTTGCTTTGTTGCAGATCAAAAGTTCCTTCTTTCTATTTACATTTCCAAGTCACTTAACATTTCTGTAGGGTGTGATTAGACACGTTTAGTCTGATGCTTTGAATAGTAGACTTAATGAGCTTCAGGTTGCCTAACTGGTGGATCCGTGGGGTGAAACTGGAGAAAGCTCTCCTGAAGCTTTCTGCAGTTTTTTTTCCATACCCATTAGTTGAACTTTTCTGAATAGGCACACTGGCTGAGGAATTCTGGGAGTTGAAGTCCACAAGTCATAAAAGGAATAAGTTTGAAGACTCCTACATTAGCCAATTGCAGTTGTTGGTTATAATTCCTCATCCTGAGGAATTTCCATTAATAAGGAATTCATAGATTTGCTCCCCCTCCCAAGATAAATAATGGACTTCTGCTCTGCTCTCTTCTACCTTGTTACAAGCTTGGAGAAAGGCTGGTAACAAAGCAGGATGGGTGGAACTTAATATGGAAAGAATTTAGGAAAATGAACAGAGGAGCCAAATGCTGGGAGTAATATGGGTACAACAAACACCGGTTAGTGACCAAGGGAAATGGGAACGACAAGGACTCCGAATATTCCTTAAATACTCCTCTGTTTGGCCACACCCTATTTGTCAAGGCTGTTTAACTGGCTAACCAAAAATATGAGAATCAGGCATTTCAGATAAAGATAGGTAACATGAGGATGTAAAAACAAAAGTCTTGAAATCTTTTAAGAGTAAATTCCCAAGAGGTTAATTAAGGCAGAGTTATTTTCAAACATCTCCTGAGCTGTGAAGCCTCTTCTCTCATAAATTAAAGTTCTCCTCTACCTCCTCACATTAATTCATCTCATTGCCAGGTGCCAAAGTATTTGTCTACCTTGAAGCTGAGGTAAGATTTTATCAGCTAGGATAAATACAATATTTAAATGTCTTGCTTCCATATCATTTCCTGCCTGCCTTTCCAATTTGGTTTTTCTTCAGAGAGTGTTTTCTATTCCTAACGATTCAACATGTTGCTCCCAACCTGGAAGTCACTTCTTCTCAGATACTGTGCCCGTTAATTTCCTTAAACACTCGTGAGATCCAATAAGTAATACAAAAACGAAGCAAGATCACACAGAATTTGGAGATTGGTTTTGTCTAAGAAAATGCTTTGAAATCAGTGGGTGTGAAGTTACGTTTATATCTTCTTTATATGTCAAGAAGAAATAAACTCTTCAGAGTGTTATACTAGTACTTGAAAAAGTTATTTTAATATAGATTTGTGAAGAATAGTGGTTGGAATTTCGTTTGCAGATTACATAAGGCGTATTAAACAACGATATTAGACATGTGATTTCACATAACCTAAAATTTGGAAAGCTTGGGAAGATTTGATACTTTGGGTCATTCTTGTTTCTTCACATCAAAACTGATATCCAGAATCTTTTCCAAAGCCACCAAAGCACGCTCGGGAAGAATTCTGGGGAAAAAAGAATAGAGGAACATTAAACAAAAATCTCAAAACCTGCTTCAATGCAAGACCTTGATCTCACTGCTTATTTTTTTTTTTTTTTTTTTTTTTATTGAAATTTTTCAAAAGTTTTACAAATAAAAATCCACCCCCCCCTCCCCAACCACCCCACCCCCCCCCCCGACTTCCCAGAACTGAATATAGGATTATTTAACAAATATTTTAAAAATAACATTTGCAATTTATAAAATAATTAATAATAATAATAAAAATCACAGTAATAATATATATAGAAATAATATACATAACATAAACTTTAAAATGAATAATATATACTAAAAAAGAAAAAAAATAAAAAATAAAAAGAGAAGAGAGAGAGAGAAAGAAGAAAGAAGAAAGTAGACGAAAAATAAAGCATATATATATATAAAAAAAAAAAAATATATGAATAATAATACATTAAAAATGTATATATATAAAAAAGAAAAAGAAGAAAGAAAGAAAGAAAAAACAATCATTACAAATTATAAAAAGGCTAAATAATATTTTTCCATATCCAAATTATGTTGTATAAAATTTATCCATTTTTCCCATACCGCAAAAAATTTTTCTTGAGATTGCTCCTTTAAGAAAGCCGAAATCTTTGCCATTTCTGCCAAATACGAAACTTTATGAAACCATTCTTGTAAAGTAGGCAAAGATTCCTTCTTCCAATATTGTCCTATTAACAACCTAGCGGCTGTAATCAAATTTAACATCAATATAACCTCCTTAGCATCACAGTCAATAACAATACCTAGTAAAAATAATTGCGGAGTAAATTTTACCCTTCTTTTAAAAATTCTTTGAATATTCCACCATATCTTAATCCAAAAAGCTTTTATATGCTTACACGTCCACCAAATATGGTAATAGGTAGCATCCAAATATCCACATCTCCAGCATTTCGGCTGTAGATTAGGGTACATAATGGACATTTTCTTTGGGTCAAGGTGCCATCTATAAAACATCTTATAAAAATTCTCTCTTAAATTTTGCGCTTGTGTGAATTTAACATTTCTTATCCAAATAAGTTCCCAAGTATCCATTGAAATCGTTTCACCAATATTCTGTGCCCATTTAATCATACAATCTTTAACTAGTTCAAGTTCTGAATCTAATTCCACTAAAACCCCATAAACTCTCTTAATATGGGTTGGCCTTTGATCTCTTACTTGTTTTAAAAAAAATTCCATCTTCTCTAAGCCAGCCCATTTTACAATCCATCTTCCATCTATCCACTATTTGTCTATATTGGAACCATGAATAAGTTAAGTTTTCATGTGTTAATTCTTCCAAAGATTTTAACTGCCAGTCTTGGCCATCCCATCTTAATAACTGTACGTAAGAGACCTTGTCCATATTTACCCCTTTCCTTATACCTTCTATGGCATGCCGAGGTATAGCCCATAATGGTATTTTGAAGTCACTTTTATAATACTTTCTCCACACTCTTAGCAAAGAGTTTCTTATAATATGAGACTTAAAAACCCAATCCACTTTTTTATTAAATATTAAATAGGCATGCCATCCAAAAAATAGGTCCCAGCCTTCCAAATGAAGTATTTCTGTATTTGTTAAATTCACCCAATCGCTAATCAATGTCAATACTACAGCATCATAATACAATTTCATATTTGGTACCTTGAGTCCACCTCTCTCACGAAAATCTTGCATTATTTTAAGTTTCACCCTTGGTTTTTTCCCTGCCCAAACAAATTTATTAATACCTTTTTGCCATTCATCTAAATTACGTTCGTTCTTTAAGATAGGTAACATTTGGAACAAAAAAATAAACTTTGGCAGGACATTCATTTTAATAACTGCAATTCTGCCCATAAGGGATAACTGTAAATTATTCCAGTTTTTTAAATCCTTCTGTACCTCCATCCACAGCTTTTCATAATTATTTTTATACAATTTTACATTAGAAGCAGATAATGTAACCCCCAAATATTTTACCTTATCAACAATTTCAAAGTCTGTTAAGTTAACTAGAGCCTGTTTATCACCATTAGTCATGTTTTTAGCTAATATTTTGGTCTTATTATTATTAATTTTAAAGCCAGAAACACGTCCATATTGTTGAATCAATTGTAATAATTTCACCACCGAAGAAACAGGTTGAGACAAAGTAACAACCAAGTCATCTGCAAAGGCTCTTAATTTATATTCTTTTTTATTAATTTCTATTCCTTTTATTTCTTGAGACTCCCGAATTTTAATCAACAAAATTTCCAGTGTTAAAACAAACAATAACGGAGACAACGGGCATCCCTGTCTTGTTCCTTTTTCTATTACAAAAGCCTCTGACAAACCCCCATTTACAATAATTTGAGCAGTCTGTTTTTGATATATATTGGATAATACTTGTAATATATTTTGTCCAAAATTCATCTCCTTGATTAAACACAGCATAAACTGCCAATTCACTTGATCAAAGGCTTTTTCAGCATCCAAAAATATCAAGCCTGCAGAGACTTGGTTATTCTTTTCTAAATACTCTAATAAATTAATAATTTGTCTAACGTTATTCTTCATATACCTTCCAGTTATAAAACCCGATTGATCCCTATGTATAAACTGCTGCAAGATCCCCATAAGCCTGTTAGCTAAAATTTTTGCAAAAATTTTATAATCCACATTTAAAAGAGATATAGGCCTATAATTTTTAGGCAAAGTAAGATCTTGACTATCTTTTGGAATCAATGATATAAATGCATTACGCCAGGATGGAGGGATCTCTAACCCCTGTAATAAATTATTAAACAGTTCACACAACGGTTGGATCATCTCTTCTACTAAAGCTTTATAATAAATAGATGTCAACCCATCCGTACCCGGCGCTTTGCCCAATTTCAATTGTTTAATAGCTGTAACAATTTCTTCCTTAGTAATTAAACCGTTAATCTTTTTTTCCTGATCTTCTGTTAATTTAGGAAAGTTGACTTTGCCTAAATAATTATTTATATCTGTAATTTGAATATTGGTACCCTTATATAATTTTTGATAGTATTCTAAAAAAGATTTCTTAATCAATTCTTTCTGATAAACCAATTTACCATTATAATTTATTTTATCTATATTCCTCTGTTTCTGTTTTTTTCTTAACTGATAAGCCAACCATCTCCCTGGTTTATTAGCATTACAAAATGTATTTTGTTTCATAAATAGCAAATTAGTTGCAGCTTGATCAGCCATCAGCATGTTAAATTGTGTTTTTAACAATTTTAAAGCTCCTTTAACCTTTTCATCTAAGGGATTTGAAATTAAAAGTTTCTCTTTTAATTTAATCTCCTCTTCCAAGTCTTTCCGTTTCTGAATCTGTTTCTGTCTATGCAAATTATTCATTTTTATCAAAATACCACGCATAAAAGCTTTACTTGCATCCCAGACCATTGACATTGATGTTCCCTTGTTCATATTTAAAGTAAAATATTCCTTTAAACATTCCTTTAATTTATGAACATTTTTTTCTTGTTTAAATAAATTCTCATTCACCCTCCAGGATCTCCTATCTTCCTTCTCTACAAACAGTTCCATCCAAACTGGACTATGATCGGACAATGTCCTAGGAAAAATTTTTACATTCTTCACCCTGTTGTATAAATCTGTTGTGATCAAAAAGAAATCAATTCTTGAGAAAGATTGGTGTCTATCTGAGAAAAACGTAAAATCCTTTTCTTCTTGATTACGTTCACGCCAATAGTCTCTCAATTCCCAATCTTCTTTCATGTCAAAAAAGGCTTTAGGTAATTTAGCCTGTTTAAAAAAGGTAGAAGAGCCTTTTTTGTCCATTTGTATATCTAAGACACCATTCCAGTCTCCCATTAAAATCACGGATCTATAGTCCAACAAAGTTATTTTCTGATGTAGTAACCTATAAAATTGCTCCTGTTGCTGGTTTGGTGCATACAACCCCACAATAAGAATTTTCTTGCCATATAAACCAAGTTCAAGCATAACATATCTTCCATAAGGATCTGATTCTAACAAGGTAGCAGATAAATTCTGTTTAACATAGATTACCACACCCCCTTTCTTCCCAGGGGCGGGAGATACAAAATGAGATCCCAAGCGAGGATTATTTAAATATTTTTGATCTTTAGCTGTAATATGAGTTTCTTGCAAGCAAATAATATCATTGTTGTGTTGTTTCAAATAGTGGTAAATTTTTTTTCTCTTTTGAGGAATGTTTAATCCATTAACATTCCAGGACAGGAGCTTTGCCATCTCCCTTGGCCTTCAGCCTGGAGAAGATCCGCTCAAATTCTGCTGCTGATGAATATGTAGCAGAGCTTTTGGGTCTTGCTCCTCCCACCGGCACTGAAGCAATTTGCTGAGTAGATTCTTCAATTTCTTTTTCTTTTTCTTTTTTCTGTTGTTCTTTTTCTTTACGTTTATGTGCTGCACGGGTCATTCTCTGTTCTTTAACCTCTGGTTGAGACATCCATACCACCTGTCCAGCAGTCATCATCCCTGTACCTTCAGATTTCTGTTCCATCTCTTTGTCACTCAAGACTTTATGCATCATGGGCAAAGGAGAGCCTGCTCCCAGGACCGTTTTATAAAATTCCTTAGCTTTAGCAACTGTATTAAGTCTATAACGTGTCCCCGCATGGCTCAAAACAATGCCCATCGGAATCTCCCATCTAAATGGCATTTGTCTTGCTTTAAGTTCATTTACTAAAAAAGCAAAATCTTTTCTGCTTCTTAAAATTTTAGGTGGAATTTCCTTTAAAATAATAATATCTTGGGCAGCAATCTGAAATCTTTTATTATAAAAAGTTTGTAGAATCTGATTTCGCAAAGACTTCTTAGCAAAATATATCACCACATCTCTAGGCAAATTCCTCTGTTTTGCAATCCAAGAATTAACTCTATAAATTCTTTCCACATCCCCACGTAACTCTTCTTTATCAATATTCAAAATAACAGCCAAGTCATTAATCACCATTTCCATCAAATCTTGAGTTTTATCTTCTTTCAGACCCCTTATTCTCAAAGCATATTCCATCTGTCTATACTGGAACATAAGAATATCATCTTGTGAAGTCTCCACTTTTTTCTCCATATCTTGAAATTTATAATCCAAAAGTTCAACTGTTTCTTCAATTTCCTCTACTCTGGAGTCCAGCTTCACAACCACTGAGGCCATTCCAGATAGAGCTAGAAGTATATCATCCCTCAAAATAGCATTATTCTGTTCTAAAAGCTCCTTCATCTCTTTCTTCATTTCCTCCTTAGTTTCAGATTTATTCTGATCCAAAAGTTGTTTCATTTCCTCCCTAAACTGTGAGACAGCACTTACCATTATTTCTTTAATGTCTTGTGCTGATGTGCCAGATGGGGGAGGTGAAGGTGGAGTAGATTTAGGTTGCTGCACTGAGGGTATTATTTTAAGTTGTTGTTGCACAGTAGAAGTAGCAGGAGAAGAAGTTACTTTAGAAGCTGCAGTAGCTGGTTGTCGTTTTGAAGCCATTTTAATTTATCTTCCTTTCTTCTTAAAAATACCAATAAAAATAAGTAATCCAAAAAAAAATTAAAAATAAGATAAAATAGAATAAGATAAGATCAATCTAAAAGTCCCCAAGAATAAAAAAGTAAAAAAAGTAAAAAAAAAGCAATATTAAACAACAATTCAGCCGATCCGTCTTTTAAAGGAAAAAAAAAACTTTCAAAACGCCATTTTACTTTCACTCTCACTTTTCCGCCCAAAAAAAAAAGAGAAAGCTCAAAAAAATAAAAAAAAAATCAGCAGATACTAAATAAACTAAATAAACTAAAAAAAATAAAATAAAGCTAAACTATAAATAAAATCCTTTAAACAGTTCTGTCCGGTTTAAGATTACTCACGGTTTCTTTAAGTACGGAGATGGTAGCGGCGTCTCGCTTTGTTTCCGAAGAAACAAAGACAGCTGAGAGGCGGAGAAGGCAATGAACTCCGAGGGAACCCTCTTTCTACCCCCCTAAAAATAAAAATCCAGGGAGAGTTAAGAGGTTCTACCTCTATTCATGCGATCTCTACCCCTTCCCTTCGCCCGGGAAGGGGATTGCGAGCCGCGGGCCAGCTGATAAACGCTGTGCTCCGCGGATCTGACACCTTCTCAGGAGGACGGCTACAAAGTAGCCGCCATCTCCACCGCTTTGACCACCGGAAGTCCCTCACTGCTTATTTTTTGATATGCCACAAAATGTATTTTAATTCTAATTGTCAGTGCCGAAGTCCAGCCCTTAAGCACCCTGCATACGTACATTTCCAACCAAGGATACATTGTAACGGAGAATGGCACAACAATCCTGTTTTGATTGCAGAGTATCCCATCCATGAGCCTCCTTGCAACTGCCTCAGGTTTCAGAATAGGTATTATTCTGGAATTGGAATCGTTGACGTTATTAATAGTGAGCTATTAATTCATTTTATTTTAAAAGAAGTGACTGCTGGGTCTCGTGGACTACAGTTATCAGTGATACTGATTCTATCTGCTCGGAAATGGTGGTGACAAATGAACAACACTTCCACTTTTGTAGCTGCCATAATAACTTATTTTTATTTATAGAAATATTTTTGGCCTTGGAAGCATTTATACAAAAGAGGGGGGTGAATTGGGGCTGGGGGGGGAAGGAGAGAGAATGGTAGTCCAGAGTGTAGTTCAGAAATCTGCCCACATAGTCCAGAAAAATAAAATTGGAAAATGGAAGAAAGAATCTTCCAGGCACGGTGGGGGAAAAGTTCAGGTTTTGACCCAGCTACTCTTTCCCATGGCAGCCATTTTGAGAGAGACTCCAAAATACGCTCTCCAGATCCTGTTGGTTTCAAATGGTTAGCAATGTGCATGTAAACTAGTATTCCTCAACCTTGGCAATTTTAAGATTGCTGGACTTCAACTCCCAGAATTCCCCAGCCAGCATGTTGAAGTTGAAGTCCATATGTCTTAAAGTTGTCACGGTTGGGAAACTGCTCTATGCTAACTGGACCCATCTTGTCTCTTACCTCGACTGTGGGTTTTTTATAAACCCCGTGTTTATAAAAAATGGACACAAGCAGGTAGTCTTGATCCCATCTTTTCCCAAAGCAGATAGTTCTTTGGTGAAGTCTTTGTGAAGCCCTAAAGCAGCAAACTTGCTTGAGCTAAACAGGAGAGGAGAATTAGGGGAGAAAAGAATTTTATTTCTTCCATTAAAAAGAGTTAAAACCAATTAAAAACAGTAACAACAAAAAGACAGGAAAGAATGCAATCAAAACTATACTTTCTCACAGGATTCCTAGGCCCAAAATTTTGAGAATTTTCCAGATGAACAACAGTATTGGGTCCAACCTCACCTCAGGGGAAATGATATTTCAAAAAGTGAGTCCCCCACCAAATGAAACTATGTGGCTTAAGGCAGGGCTTTTCAACCAGTGGTACGGGTACCACCTGTGGTACATTGGCACCTGGCAGGTGGTATGCGACCATCCTAGAAAAGTGGTAGCGGGGAGTGGAATGAGAGCGCCATCAGGTGGGCAGGCAGGTGTCTTGCTCGGCTGTGCCTTGGGGGGCACTTTTTCAGTGCCATTGTAACTTTGAACAGTCACTAAGCGAACTGTTGTAAGTCGAGGACTACCTGTACTTTATCACTTTTTTCCTCTTTTTTTTTTTTTGGTCATCACGTTTTTGACACCTTGCTAGGTGACTGGTGGTACTCGGATATTGCCATATCCTAAAAGTGGTACAATGGATGAAAAGGTTGAAAAGCCCTGGCTTAAGGGACCAGCAACATGCTTCCCTTCCTACTGGACCTGATGGGATGGGGGGATGTCATTGGGGTAAGGCAGTCCCTGAAATAACCTGGCCCCTGCAATGTAGAGCTTTGATGTCCAAGGAAGTCTGGCTTGATATATGTCTGATACGCAGGGTATGGATGGATAATCATCACCGACTTAGATAAATGCAGTAAGCCCTTCAAGAGGCTTATAAGCAAGCTTACAAAGGGAAGCAACATAATATAGACTAGAATTTTATGCAACTCTGGTTTGATAGTTTTCTCTTCTCATGAACCTTTCTCCTCTCATCTCAACTTCAGTGTTAAAAGAAAATACATGTAGCTTAGGGTTGAACCGTGGACTGCGAAGGGGAGCATAGGGATTTCAAATCTGGATCAAAATAGTCTGGGGGAGTCCCTTGGCACCTCAAACAGTTGCTAAGCAATCAGTTGTAAGTTGAAGACTACGTGTACAAACAGAGAGCAAATTACACTTCTAGCACTGAAGATGTTACCTAACTTTTATTCTAGAATAGAGCAGAATAGAGTAGAGTAGAGTAGAGTATATAGAGTAGAGTAGAGTAGAGTAGAGTAGAATAGAATAGAATAGAATAGAATAGAATAGAATAGAATAGAATAGAATAGAATAGAACAGAACTTTGGAGGTCTTCTCGTCCAACCCCCTGCTCAGACAGGAAACCCTATACCATTTCAGACAAATGATTATCTGGATAATAAAACTTGCAAGAAAACAAGCAAGCTCAGAGAGCACCAAGGAGTCCCCAGACTTCAGTTTCTAAATATGAATAACTCCCAACGTTAAGAGAAAAAGGCTAGTGAACTATTGCTATGGACACTAAAATGGTGCATAAAGATTATAGGCAGATGTTACTCATTGTTTTTATTTCCTCCTTGGAAATTGGATGTGGAAGCTGATTAAGAAAGGAGTAAAAAAAAAAGGGGGGGGGTAGTTTGGTGCAGACTGAATCAGCTAAGAAACAAAAGTTGGAGTTTGGGTAGGTTTCTCACAATGTTAGTTTGAATTGAAAATTATAGATTTTGGGTCTCTGTTGAAATAGTCCACCCTGGGCATTTGTACACAAACTAAATATTACAATGAGTCTCCTGAGATTATTTTCAAAAGAAAAGCAAATGCGGGCGAATGCTCGACGGTCTCATTAAGTGGGAAAACTTAAGATAGATTCAACAGAAATTCTTAATCAAATCCTAATTGATTCTAAAAAATTCCCTACACTCACATAAACTTTGGGAAGAGTGTTCTGTCCCAGCTTCCGTGGGTCCTTGTTAAGCTCACAAGAAGAAACCCCTCTTCCAACAAGCAGGCTGGAACCGCAGGAAAAAAACAATCCCCTTTTATTATTCACAGACCTGAGTCAATGCCAAAGCAAACAAACACAGTTCACAGAAACTCGATCTTCAACAAGAACGGTTGCCTTTGCCAACCAGCACCTCCCACACCTTCCCTTTTATTATGCAGCCAAAGGGTGGCAACCTAATGCCTTCTCCTTTGCCTTTGGAGCCACCCCATTGCATTGCTCTGTCCTACTCTCTTGTCGGCGTTTTCATGCATCCTAGATATCTCCCAGTTGGGATTCATCACTGTCCAACTCAGACTCCCAGCACAGCTGTGTCTCAGCCTGAACGCGAGTAGAGGGGCCAGACTCCCCATAAGACTATAAGTCTTGGAGCTCCTCAGAACCTTCCTCTGACTCTGATGTCACTCCAGATCCCTCCTCCTCCTCTGCTTCCTCAGACTCAGCTGCCAGGTCCACTGGCTGGCGAGGAATCACAATAAATAGCAGGGTGGGCTGTACAGGTAGTCCTCAACCTAAGACCACAATTGAGCTCTACTACCTTTTGATTTTGATAGAAAAAACTCTCTCATACATACCAATAAGGCAATAGAAAAGGAACCGGCACAATCGCACCAGCTGATGCAACAGTGACAATATGACCATGGTTCTTTTTCATCATAGCTGGCAGGAAAGCTTTTATTGTCTGCAATTAAGATTCCACATGTGACCAAAAAGCAAAAAGAAAAAATACAACACCCCACATTGCCAGATGCTTACATTTCTGTATTTTTCATTCAGAAACACACATATTCTTAAACTGAATAATTCGAATGCAAGTTATTTATAATTAAATGATTTCTGCCTCTTCAATAATCATTGGAAGCAGTGGTGAACGTAATAGTGTTATATGTACTATGGTGTATGTGATAACAGGAGCACCGATAAGTACATATGAATTAACTTTCTTAAAATAAATTATTTTTCTATATGCACTAATAGGACTGACTAGCACTGACGATGTTACTTAGTTTGGGTAATGAAACATCTGCAAGAAAACAACCAAGCTCAGAGAGCAACAAGAACCCCTCATTTCAACCTTCAGCTACAAATATTCTCCTTTATTAATAATAGGAAATATTTAGCCTCAGTCATATGCTATTTCTTTAAGAATCATTTATCTGGAATGATCTGGCTTTGAGGTTTAGTTATATTAGGTCTTATCCAGTCCATGTTCAGACTCGGTTTTTGCACAGATCCTATCTTGCCAACAGCAGTAAAGCCACCATAATAATCTCAAGGTTAGAATAGTACACTGGAATCTTTGAGACAGCCCTCAATAAGAGACTGGATACAACAAAGTATGGCAATACAGATGATGAACAGGCCTTCAAGAGATATTATAGTACAGCTATGCTGAAATAGCAGTCCTGATTAAAGTTGCATTCAGAGCTAAATATAAGGTGCCCATTAGGGCAGGGGTGGGCAATTAATGTATTCAAGGGGCCACACGAGAAACTGGGACTGTTGTGGAGGGCTGAACCAATATGGTTGTGTCATGGTTCCAATGCATTGTTTACCTTAAAGAATCTTTATTTGAGCAGCATAGCATTGGCACATATATAAGCGAGGCCAAAATCTGGATTCCCCTGCCCTTAGCACATAGTATTAAATACAATTCCCTCCTCTAACTAACTGTCATAAATCACATTCTCCAATTAGTTTGAAATGCAGGCTTTCCCTCCTGTTCTCCAACCTGCCATTTCTTATCATCTCTTATTTCAAAAGCCCTGAGTTCACACACTATTACAATATTGTTATGTCTAACTAACTCCCATCACATTCCTCCTCCTCCCCCAGTATCATCTAATTCTAAGAATAAAGCATAAGAAAGAAAAAGCTGCATCTCCATATGTTGTCAAAGCAAGAACATCCAATGTTAGCAGCGTTGGCACATGCAGGCACACATAAGTAGATTGGAAAAAAAGCAATTGCCTTCAATATAAAAACAAGGCAGTTGTATTGTGTGCATGGCGTACAGTTATTTATATTTGATTTCTAATTTCTGATTGACCTCATGCTGGCTGGACAGAGACAGCCAAAGTCATGGTTCTGATATGCAGGCATTTTGCATGATTTTTTTTTTTTTTTGAAATTAAGAAATTTGTATGTCTTAAATTTCTTAAAATTTCTCTAGTTAATCTCACTTTTCTATCATGGCCAAACTAGGAAAACAGTGGCTAATATATCTGGGGAAAAGAAAACCAGGAGATTAAAGAACAGCTTCAACTTTGCTTTATATCTTTCTTGTTCCAAAATAGTTAATTGTAGCTTTTGACTTCAGATAAAAATCAAACGCCATAACCAAACATTCCTTACGCTTTTCCTTATTTTCCTTATTGCTTTTCAAAACAACTATACACGAATGCTCAGATTTCAATTGTATACTAGCTGATATAGACAGCCCACTCTTAATTAGCTGAGAAGTTCAAGTGAAATAAGGAATTCTCATTTGTCCAAATCTAGGTTTGAATGCAATCCGGAAGATGGAAAGTAATTTTAGAGCTCTTATTGGATTGCATGCATTGGAAGTTGGTGAAGGCTACTCTCAATCTAGTTTAAATTTGGAATGACATTATGGAATCTTCTTGAGTTGGTTCTTCCTTTGTGCTTCCTGTTCTCTGTTCCAGGCCAGTTATCATATTGGCAAATCTCAGTTTTATTGTATAGTTTTCTGCTGTCATATTTATGAAGCAGTTAGCAAAAAACGATTTTGCTGACAGATGAGCTGCATTCTAACCTTCCTCAATGACATTTTTAGTTAGGATTGTACTTTAAGGTCCTGTAAGGTCAATTAAACTTAAGCACCGTATCCCCAATATTAATTGAATAGTTAAAATTTAAGTTCTTAGTGATACCTACCCAGTAATGAGCTAGAATGTTGATTTCATACATTTTTTGTATTTGCGTGTCCGGAGTGGAAAGCAGATCTGCTGTTACTACCATACCGGCATTATTCATTAAAATAGTAACATCTCCAACATCTTTTTTAACCTTTAAAATTAAGAAACAGAAATTATTAAACTTTGCACTGGTTAAACTTGGTTTTCTTCCTATGCTGCCATATAGGTGTTTGTACAGACTGAAAGGCACAGTAAAGACTGAACATTTTAAAAGAAAAATGCACATTTACAAATTCTAGATCAGGCTTGGCGTTCTACAGATGTGCTGTATTTCAGTACATTAGCACTAGAATTTTGGGAGCTGAAGTCTTGACATATTGGGATAGTCATGTAAGGCTGATTTAGAAGGCCAGTGACATAATCAACCCAGATGTACAATGATTCTACAAAGAGGCTATTTCGGTAAAAAAAGCTTTGTTTTTGCTTTAAAATTTTGTTGGTCACTGGCCAGCCAGAGTTGAACAGTTAGGTACATTTCAAATTAACAAGCAAGTATTCACCGGATCTCACTGACAAAAATGTGACCCTGAAAAGCAAACACAGGAGCATTTCTAGGTGAGATGGGCGGCAAACAAGAGAAACAAACTAACAAATAAATAAATGCTCCATTTCTTTCTTCAAGAAGCAACGGGTGAGATAACTAGGGGAAAACTTAACTGCAAAAATATCTACATGATGTGGACTCATCCCATGGCTGACAAGAATATAGAGGTAGTCCTTAACTTACAATGGCAATTGGAACAATTAATTATTATTTGTTACACAATAACTATATCATACTGAATAGGGGGAAAAACAGTTTCTAAGCTCATTAGAATGTGATAATCTTTTTTTTTAAAGCTGGTTTTCCAAAACTTTATAAAAAACAGGGAAACAACACACTCATTTACTGTACAGAATTCTCACTTTCTCAGCCGCACTGTAGATGTCCTCTCTCAAACTGCAGTCCACCACATAAGGATATGCTTCGACTCCCAGCTTTCTGCATTCTTCAGCTGTTTCCTCTATGCCTGGCTACAAACAGTAGAAAGGATAAATATTGTTCACTTCTTTGCATTCTGCCAACAAAATATTACTGGGGGAAAGGTTACTACAGTGTGAGTAAGATCATAGTTCCAGAATTTAAAGTTCATGTATAACCAAACCAATATAGATATTCTGAACAATCATAGACTGGCTTCTCTAAAAGGATACTTCCTTCTACATGGACTAGGTAGTTAACCAAATCAATGGTAGAGCTATCTCCACTTTACTTTATCCAATGAGTAGTCAGAACTAGTTGGCCACTATGCATGTTCAGTTTTCACCAGGTGATTCACTGTGTCTTACAAATAGAGACTGTAAGATAGAAGGATGATTTAGGATCATGCAGTCTTAGTATGGTCATCTATAAAATCCTATACAAATGTATGGAGCACTGAGACTCATCCCAAGTCTCCACAGCAGATGTGCCTGGCCTAAATAGCCCCTACTGGAATGAACTGGCTCATCCCTTGAGATCAGTAATAAAAGTACCATCAATAAAATCATTTGTTTTCCATTTAAGTGTGATAGCAATCTTGGAATCTCTCAAGCTAGGTGAGAAGCTTCTTGAGCAAAGCATTCTAAGTGTTATTGTTAAGCATGTAGCAGGAAGCAAGAAATCCACATATATATAATTAATCTATTTAATTAATACCTTTTACTCACTGAATACTACACTGTCTAAATAATTTCTTTTCCTGGCTTCTTACAGCCCACTAATCAGTAGTTTTAGAAGATAACGCTTGACTTAGAGCTGGAGACACCTTTCAGAAATTAGATTAGAACATACAATAATAGAGTTGGAAGTTGGACCTCAGACATCCAGACTCCTGCTGGAGCAGAGGAGACCCTATATTATTTCAGACAAATGGTTGTCCGGTCTCTTTTTGAAAACTTTCAGTGATGGAGCACCCACAACATCTGAAAGCAAGTTATTCCATTGGTTAATTGCTCTTACCATTAGGAATTTTCTCCTTAGTTCTAGGTTGCTTCTCTCCTTGGTTAGTTAGTTCCCAACCATTACTTCTTATCTTACGTATTGGTGCTTTGGAAAATAGTTTGAACCCCTCATCTTTGTAGGAGCCCTTCAAATATTGGAACAGTGCTATCATGTTCCCCTCATTCCTTCTTTTCATTACACTACAGTCATACCCAATTCTTATAACCATTCTTCCTACGTTTTAGCCTCCAGCCCCCTAATCATCTTTGTTGCTTTTCTCTGCACTCTTTCCAGAGTCTCAAAATCTTTTTTGTAATGTGGTGACCAGACCTTGATGCAGTATTCCAAATGTGGTCTTATTAAGGCTTTGTAAAGTGGTATTAGAACTTCATGTGATTTTGATCTGTCTCTCTATTAATGAAGTCCAGGACTGCATTGGCATTTTTGGCTACAGACGCATATTGTTGCTCATATTTAAGTGATTGTCCCCTAGGACAAGGCTATCTTATGTTAGGGCACAAATAATTATGACCACATGTTACATTCCAGGTAAGCTAATTTATTGCTCTGGCCCATACATAAGAATCTAGTTAACTAAAGGTCAGCACTAAATTGGCACTAGATAAGAGTTTACAGAATTCAAGAGGGGTTGGATTTAGACCTTCTGTGGGAAAATAATGACTTTAGGCTGATTCCTCTTTTGACTCAGCCTCTATCTGCTCTCCTCCTATGTCTTATTTCTATTGTGTAAATAGGGGTGTCTAGAGGAGAAAGAGTAAAAAATATTAAGATGGCTTTGATTGCACAGTTATAGACATGATCTCGACTCCATTTGCTCTCCAGCAAACTATCTATATGTAAACTACATTTTCCATCCTGTATTTCATGTTTTATACATTTTCAGAGCTACAACAAAATAAGCAACTGACCACAAAATTTGCCTTTAAATGATTTATAAAAACACATGTAATCTTGTGAATAAACATGTATATACACAAACATTCCGTGGTTGTATGAAAAAACTTTCTTTGCTCATTTATTTGGAATTTATTTGCCAAAAGATGACATTAAAATAATAAAGTTAGCACCTGAATGTAGCCAATCATCTTTAAAAAGCTAAGCAGGCTGAACAAACAATGAACAAAGCTTCATTCTGTTTAAGATTTCAAAATATTGTAGAGGAAAAGGAGGAAGATTTGGGAGAAAAGATGGCAGAGATTTTGGCGGTGATTTTAGGCAAAGAAAAATTGGAAGTAAAAAGAGACATAGATGAAACATATAGAGTATACACAAATTATGCACAAAGGCATAGATTGGCAAGAGAGGTTCATATAAGGTTTACTAGAAGATCAATAAGGGATGAAATATATAAAAAAACAAGAGACGAATTAATAACATATAAGGGTAAGGAAATAATTGTATTAAAACAAATACCACATAGTATACGAAATCAGAGACGAGAATACCAATTTTTAACGACAATTAATTAAATATAAAGTTAAGTTTTGTTGGTTAATTCCTGAAGGCATACTTTTAACTTGGCAGGAAAAAAAATATAAGATAGATACACTTGAGAAAGCACAGGACTTTTATGAGAGTTACTTTTCACAAGGAGAAGAACAAGAATGTAGGGAAGAGCCGGAGAGTAAAAGTTATGATGAAGATCTATTAGAGGAAGTTGATTGAGAGCAAGAAATACAAAAGTTACAAGAAAGAGAAAGGTTAGAAACAGAAGCAAAAGGAAGACTTATAGTGACAAGAAGTATAAAACAAAATAAAAACAAAAAAATAGATCAAGTTAAAAATGGGAGACGTAATTAAGCTCTTTTCTGTAAATATTAATGGATTAAATATATCAAGAAAAAGAGTTTAAGCGTTTAACAATTTAAGGAAATTGGATGTAGATGTGATGTATCTTTAGGAAGTTTATATAAAATAGGATTATAGAAAATTACTAGAGAAAGTAAAATTTAGAAACATTATACACAATATTAGCATAAAACAAGAAAGGAGGAATTATTATATATGTCAAAGAAAAATAAAATTAAATCAATATACTTGGATGAAAAGGGGTGAATTTTAATGTTGGAAATAGTATTAGAATAAAAACAGTATATGTACTAAATAATAATTAACGTGAATTTTTTTTTTAAAAAATAAGGTATATAAGAAGTTAGTGGATGTGGACTATGAGAATATTTGTATGATCACCATGCCTAGTTGTAATTCTGGTCGAGTCTTATAAAAAATATGAGAGTTACTACAATAAATAATGTTGGATTCCTAGTAAGTAGTAGAATCTGAAAGAAGGAAAACGTAAATAAGAAACAATGGGGTAATAAGGACAAATATTTCAAAGAAGAAAGAGGGGGGAAATGTAAAGAATAGAAGAGTACTGTTACAAACTGCTGTTAACAAAAAAGGATATATTATGTGCGTATGTGTGTAATGTTTTGTTGTGTTTTGTTTTGTTGGTCTAAAATAATAATAATAAAAAGCTAAGCAGGCTTGCGGGGTGGGTGGCTGTAAAGATGAATGTGTGTGTGTGTGCAGCACACCCCCCCCCCCCGCTTCTCTCCCTTCCCTAATTTTAAAATGGGGTTATATGTAGCTTTTGAGGAGTCTGTTGTAACTTTGAACAGTCATTAAATGACCAGTCATATCTCAAGGACTACCTATATGTTTGTGAGTGAGAGATTTTATCTCCCATGCATACATTTACTTGCAGCATTTTCATTGCTGCCTACAGCTGTAGAACATAAAAACAATCCATACAATAAAATATAAGAACGCCCTCCTCCAATGCAGAAACCTACAAACATACATAAGTACAAACAGCAGCATTCCAGTCATTGCTGGGCTTCCAAGTATTTTCACAGCCTTGTGAAATTTCTGAGAAGAGGAGCTTGGGTGCATTTTATGTTTGAATGTAAATTCTTGATTTGCTTTTTTTTTTTTAAAAAGACAGTTGACAAACAAATGCAACAACAGGACACACTTGTAATTCTTGTAAAGAATTAAAATCAAGAATATAATTATACCACATAAAACGTTTTGCTGAATAAGAACGAAGGTTGCATTAGTACTGGATGAGCTGGTTCAAAGTCTTTATTGCATGTAACAGCAGAATAACAGAGATGGAAGGAGCTCAAACAGGAGATCCTGTACCATTTCAGACAGAGTAAACTGTCCTGAATACTAGATAAACATGTTTTATGCTGTTTATTTAAAGCTTTAAATGAAACGCTACTTCTGCAAATTACACATGCTTATTTCTACAAGCTGCTTACCTATTTTTCAAACATAACAGAAAGCATACTGTATTTCCATTGGAACCTGTCCCACAGATATCTTTAGATCTTATTTCCAGGAATGTTTGTCAGCTTTTTGCTTGTTTTTCTTTCTGTTCCCCCTCTCCTCTTTCTACCTTGTTAATCTGCTAATTCTAAAGTAAAATAATTGCCGTACCTTGTTTATGTCCCAGAGAACCAATCGGCTTCCATGTTTGGCAAATTCAAAGGCTGTTAATTTTCCGATACCGCTTGCAGCTCCAGTGATAAGGACAATTTCACCTGCCACAGATTTCCTCTTCACAGGAATAAAACATATCACCAAAGCTTCAATATAGCAATAGATTGCAAAGACTGAAAACCAGAGGAAATCAAATATTGGATGCATTCTTGCTTTCTTCTACAAATGTCAACTGGCAGATTGTCGGGAGGACTTTAGAATAAGCCTTGCACAAAACTCCGCCCTATGCAAATTCACTTACAAAATGAAGCAGAAGAAAAAACACACTTGCTCTTTAAAGGTTATCACAAGCAGCATGTTGTGCTTCCAAATAATCCTTTTTCTTTTCCGCAGAAAAGAACTTATAATTGACTTCAGGAGGAAGAGAGATATACATCTACCATTGTACATAAATGGTGAGGAGGTGGGGAGGGTGGGTAGTTTTAAATTTCTGGGCACTTATATCTCGGAGGACCTCTCATGGACTATGAATGTTAACATGCTTGTGAAGAAGGCACAGAAGAGGCTATACTTCCTGAGAATGCTCAGGAAGATAAATTTATCTTAGCATCTACTTCTGCCCTACTATCACAGCACCATTGAGAGTGTCCTGACATACGGCATTCTTGCATGGTATGGGAGCAGCTCTGTAGCGGACAAAAAAGCTCTACAGAGAATTATTAAAACTGCCCAGAATATTATCAGACTCCAGTTACCAGCCCTGGACAACATCTTCGAATCTCAGAATCTTGCTGTTTGAGGAAGTTGCATAACATTCTCAGAGACTCCTCCCATCCTGCTTACAATCTCTTTGAACTGTTGCCTTCTGGCAGAAGATACAGAACATTTAAAACTCAGACCACACATTTTCTGAATAGTTTTTATCCCAGAGCTATAATTGCACTTAATAATGAACTAAAAGGCCACCATCAGTGAACTGTTGGACAGTATTACTTGGTCTGTTGGGTGGATGTTTGGGCGGTTTTAGGGGTGGGGAATTGTGGTGGGTGGGAGTGTGTTTGGGGATTATGTGTGTGGGACCTGGTCTTTGGGTGTCACGTAAATTTCGTTGTATGTGTATACTGTGTATACACATACAATGACAATAAAGTTTATTATTTATTAATATCCTAATATGATTTATGTTGTTTGCTTACCTAATAGCCTAGGACTATCACTAAGTGTTGTGTCTTATGATTGCTCACTCCTGTTTATGCCTTTTAATAAAATGTATTAGTTTGGAAAAGGAGCAGATTCCTTATGGTTTTACAGATAGGCATTCAAAGGACACCAAATCCTGAAGATGTCATAGAGAATTAAATGTAGACACTATATTTCTGGATTATTTTTGCCAGAAGTTTCATATAGATCAGCGGTTCTCAACCTGTGGGTCGCGACCCCATTTGGGGTCGAACGACCATTTCACGGGGGTCGCCAAACAACACAGTCCGCCATTTTTTTCCCCTTAGCTGTGCTACTCCCTTTTATTCTATTGGCTTTTGAAAGCCAATAGAATAGACTCGCTTGAATAGAGTCTAATTCTATTGGCTTTCAAAAGCCAATAGGAATTGTCCAGGCTGTCTCTGCCCTGCTGAGCCCGCAAAAAGTCCCATTCTGCAAACGGTGCTGCAAGTTGCCTGCAACGAAGGTGAGCTGTCTGGAAGTTTCCACCCCTCCCTGCTGAGCAACTACTAAAAATGTAAGTAAAAGAGGGCCAGGGGTGGGAGGTGGGAGGCCAGCGGGCACAGGGAGGTTGCTGGCATGCGTGTGGCCCAGCGGGTGCCTTACCTCCCTTGGGCTGGGCCAACTGGTGGCCCAGCCGGTGGTCAGCCTGCTCAGTCTCTGCCGCTTGCCAGCTATGCCTTGGCCGGCGCAAGGGGTGGCACCACGCATGCGCAGCGCTCCTGGGCAGGGAAAGTCCTCGACTTACGACCAGTTGGGTAGTCCTCGACTTACGACCGGTTGGGGTCGCGGCATTAAAAAGGTTGAGAACCACTGATGTAGATGTTGAAAACCTCTGGAAATAAAATTTAGCTGTAAGCCTATGATACATTTTGAGGAGTAACTGCTCCCAAAGCATCTAAAATATACCCAAGGAATAGATATAGTGGGAAGAAAAAGCAGGTTCGGTTCCATGCCAAATGTTGGAAATAAAATGAAGGCCAGATGCTTAGGAAAGGTTTATTGATGAGCAGAACCAACAACAGCATGCAGTTCTGGGACAGCTGACAAAATGGAGTTGACAGTGGGTGGGCTTTTATAACTTCTGTGCAATGTGCCTGAGTGTGCCCTTTTGGTATTCTAATTATTGTTGTCTGAGTCCAATTGTGGCTGGGAGGTCATGCCTTGTCCTGGGAGTCGGATGGGGAACGTAGATTTTAGGAGTCTTTATTTTTCTAATCCCATCAGTTCAAGAGCTATGGCTGAAGGTGTTTTGTTTATGAATAGGGTGGTCAGTCTTTCTGAATGGATTACAAAATCTGCATTCCTAAAGATTAGCCCCTTCAGGTTTCTGCTTGAGGCTGTTTTCCTGGTAGTGGAGAGAAGTGAATGATTTGATCCTAGGAAAGCCTCCTTTGGGAGGGGTGCTGACTTCCTACAATATAAAACTATTGTATACCTCTTATTTCCAAATCTCTCCAACAATTCAGAAGATATTATGGCCAATGGTAAAGTTGCTGAGAAGCCCCCTCTCTCCTCCAAATCAACAAGAGACATATTCCTCTTAACCCCAGAGAAAGATCGTCCATCAGGCCCACCTTGAAAACGATGAAGTTGATCAAGGCAATCAGTTTCCTCCAGGACTGCCTGTCATTGAGAGGCTTCCACTTTTTCACATTAGCTCAGGGGTCTTCAAACTTGGCCCTTTTATGACTTGTGGACTTCAACTCCCAGAATTCCTCAGCCAGGCCCAATGGCTGAGGAATTCTGGGAGTTGAAGTCCACAAGTCATAAATAGGCCAAGTTTGAAGACCCCTACATTAGCCAATTGCAGTTGGTTGGTTATAATTCTTCATCCTGAGGAATCTCCACTAATAGGGAATTAATAGATTTGCTCCCTCTCCCAAGATAAATAATGGACTTCTGCTCTGCTCTCTTCTACCTTGTTGCAAGCTTGGAGAAAGGCTGGTAACAAGTAGGATGGGTGGAACTTAATATGGAAAGAATTTAGGAAAATGAACAGAGGAGCCAAATGCTGGGAGTAAAATGGCTACAATAAACACCAGTCTGTTTGGCCACACCCTATTTGTCAAGGCTGTTTAACTGGCTAACCAAAGATATGAGAATCACACATTTCAGATAAAGATAGGTAACATGAGGATGTAAACACAAAAGTCTTGAAATCTTTTAAGAGTGAATTCCTAAGAGGTTAATTAAGGCAGAGTTATTTTCAAACATCTCCTGAGCTGTGAAGCCTCTTTTCTCATAAATTAAAGTCCTCCTCTACCTTCTCACATTAATTCATCTCATTGCCAGGCCAAAGGGTTTGTCTACCTTGAAGCTGAGATAAGATTTCCTCAGCTGGGAAGGAAAATAGTCTTTATATTGCTAGATATTAATGAATTGAGGTTGTTTGATTCATCATTTGGGACCGAGAAAAAGACAGAAGCCTAGAACCAGAGGATTGTCTTGTGGAAAACAAAAGGACTCTTACGAATTCCAGAGGGTTTAGCAGCGAGAGTTATTGCGCAGGTTCAGAAGCAATAGCAACAAGCAATTCTGAACCCTGAGGGCGGGTGCTGACTTCAGTTTTATACTTTCCTTTTTTTCTCAGGAACAAAAGAATACACATTGAAATATACACTGTAATACATTAGGTTTGTTTCTCATGGGTATACAATGGAGAGTTTGCTACATACATTGTATCCAAGTGCAATGCGCATTAGGTTAGTCACATACTACTAACACAGCACTATTCCAGTAGTAATTATGCAGACACATCATTATTCTAGTGATTGTTCATCATTCCACATTAATTGGACCCGTCAGATCATAAGCAGGCAGAGGGCTGAAGAAGTAAGGGCGACTTCAGGGTGGGGCCATACATGCTGCTAAGCTAGAACATGATTTGTTTACTCTGGGTTTCAAGTTTTATAAAACAACTGTGATTTGATTCAATAAGCCACTCTTACTACAAGCTTACTTAATTACTGCTGTGAAAATAATTATCCAGGGATGTACACAATGATTCTTTGAGTGGTGAAAGATAGGAGTTATTCAGTCAGAGTCTGCTGAGTATTGACTATTTACAAATGGTTGGGTTTTTGGTGTTCTCTGAACGTGGTTGTTTTTCTGAACAAGCTTCATTGGCAGGCTGACTAATAAAACTCAAGAGAACATTTTGCACTTGGAACTAAAGTACTTTAAAATCAGTGGGTTTGAAGTTACATTTATGTCTTCTTTATATGTCAGGAAGAAATAAACTCTTCAGAGTGTTTATACTAGTACTTGAAAAAGTTATTTTAATATAGATTTGTGAAGAATAGTGGTTGGAATTTCTTTTGCAGGCTACGAAAGGCGTATTAAACAATGATATTAGACATGTGATTTCACATAACCTAAAATTTGGAAAGTTTGGGAAGATATGATACTTCGGGTCATTCTTGTTTCTTCACATCAAAACTGATATCCAGAATCTTTTCCAAAGCCACCAAAGCACGCTCAGGAAGAATTCTGGGGAAAAAAAAATACAGGAACATTAAACAAAAATCTCAAAACCTGCCTCAATGCAAGACCTTGATTTCACTGCTTATTTTTTGATATGCCACAACATGTATTTTAATTCTAATTGTCAGTGCAGAAGTTCATCCCGTAAGCACCCAGCATACATACATTTCCATCCAAGTGCACATTGTAACGGAGAATGGCATAACAATCTTCTTTTGATTGCAGAGTATCCCATCCATGAGCCTCCTTGCAACTGCCTCAGGTTTCAGAATAGGTACTGTTCTGGAATTGGAATTGTTGACGTTATTAATAGTGAGCTATTAATTCATTTTATTTTAAAAGAAGTGACTGCTGGGTCTTGTGGACTACAGTTATCAGTGATACTGATTCTATCTGCTCAGAAATGGTGGTGACAAATGAACACCACTTCCACTTTTGTAGCTGCCATAATAACTTATTTTTATTTATAGAAATATTTTTGGCCTTGGAAGCATTTATACAAAAGAGGGGGGTGAATTGGGGCTGGGGGGGGGGAAGGAGAGAGAATAGTAGTCCAGAGTCTAGTTCAGAAATCTGCCCACATAGTCCAGAAAAATAAAATTGGAAGATGGAAGGAAGAACCTTCCAGGCACAGTGGGGGAAAAGTTCAGGTTTTGACCCAGCTACTCTTTCCCATGGGAGCCCTTTTGGGAGAGACTCCAAAATATGCTCTCCAGATCCTGTTGGTTTCAAATGGTTAGCAATGTGCATGTAAACTAGTATTTCTCAACTTTGGCAATTTTAAGATAGCTGGACTTCAACTCCCAGAATTCCCCAGTCAGCATGTTGAAGTTGAAGTCCATATGTCTTAAAGTTGTCACGGTTGGGAAACTGTTCTATGCTACCTGGACCCATCTTGTTTCTTACCTCGACTGTGGGTTTTTTACAAACCCCGTGTTTACAAAAAATGGACACAAGCAGGTAGTCTT